TTTTCAAGTTGGTAATTTTTTTTTTCTGATATAAATATATTTTTGTCTCTTGATACTGATTTGTGTCATTCAACTATGTTAATTACTTCATTTTATAAGTTACGGATAGAACTTAGGTTTACAGCGTGAGAATTCTTTAAGTGTAAGTTCTGTTCTACTTGCATTTTAATGTGATTCGATGATTACCTCAAATATAAATATATGCAAATTTGCTTCTTTTGCGTTACTTTATATTTTTTCCTTCGTTTTCTGCCATAGCATTTAATTGAACCACTTAAGCGAGCTAGTTTCCCTCCTCTTTTTGTATCTATGTTTATCTAAGTTAAATAAGATGTATGTTTGAAGTACTCATGTTAATTATATTGAACATGTTCTTTCAGGATCTTAATCCTTGTTCGGATGGTGGCTCTTGGATTCTTTATGGAATGGAGAATCACCAATCCCAATGAAGATGCAATCTGGCTATGGGGCATGTCTGTGGTTTGTGAAATCTGGTTTGCCTTCTCTTGGCTACTTGACCAGCTTCCTAAGCTCTGTCCCATTAATCGGACGGCTGACCTCGCTGTTTTGAAAGACAAGTTTGAAACAGCCAGTCCTAGTAACCCAGCGGGAAAATCTGATCTTCCTGGTGTAGATGTCTTTGTTTCTACTGCTGATCCAGAAAAAGAACCACCTCTTGTCACTGCAAACACCATTCTGTCAATTTTGGCTTCTGATTATCCTGTTGAGAAGCTCGCGTGTTATGTCTCTGATGATGGAGGTGCCCTTCTTACCTTTGAGGCTATGGCAGAGGCTGCTAGTTTTGCCAACCTTTGGGTTCCTTTTTGTCGGAAACATGATATTGAGCCAAGAAACCCTGAATCCTATTTTAATATGAAGAGAGATCCTTATAAGAATAAAGTACGCCATGATTTTGTTAGAGATCGCAGGCGTGTGAAACGCGAGTACGATGAATTCAAGGTTCGGATTAATGGCCTTTCTGATTCAATCCGGCGACGTTCGGATGCCTTCAATACTAGGAATGAGCTTAAGGCTTTGAAGAAGTGGAGGGAGAACGATAGCGATGAAACCATTGAAAGTTTGAAGATTCCAAAAGCTACTTGGATGACTGATGAAACCCATTGGCCTGGCACATGGACAATTCCTGCTCCAGAGCACTCCAGGGGTGATCATGCCAGTATTATACAGGTGATTATTTTTTCTACAATGTCTAAGCTGTTAACTTGTAAATGGATAAAATTAGGATCTCAATTCAATCTCTTTTTTCCCCTTTATCACTTAGGTCGAGTGTTGTTATAGGGGAAACTATATTTTTCTAAAATATTTAACAATTTTTTTTATTAAAGGACTATGTGAACTCCTTAGATATGATAACTGGATTGATAACTGATAATGTATTGATTAAAGCTGATCTTTATCGTACTGCAGGTGATGTTGGATCCTCCCAATGATGAACCATTAGCAGGTTCTGCTGGTGATGGAAATTCCATGGATCTAAGTGAAGTAGACGTTCGCCTTCCCATGTTGGTTTATGTTTCTCGTGAAAAACGACCTGGTTATGATCACAACAAAAAGGCTGGGGCTATGAATGCCCTGGTTCGATCCTCAGCCATAATGTCCAATGGCCCCTTCATTCTTAATCTTGACTGTGACCACTATGTTTTCAATTCCCGAGCTTTAAGAGAAGGAATGTGCTACATGATGGACAGTGGTGGTGAACGCCTTTGTTATGTCCAGTTTCCTCAAAGATTTGAAGGAATAGATCCATCTGATCGCTATGCCAATCATAACACTGTTTTCTTCGATATCAACATGCGAGCTCTTGATGGAATTCAGGGTCCTGTATATGTTGGAACAGGATGCCTCTTTCGAAGGACTGCCATCTATGGCTTTGACCCCCCTCTGTCGGTAGAAAAGAGTGATTGCTGTGGTTGCTGCTTTCCCCGTCGCAGGAAGGTTGCAACTACTCCTGCCAGTGAAGTTTCTTCAGAAGACAGCCGGTCACTTGGAATGGGGACATATGATGATGAAGAAATGAATATTGCTCTTATTCCAAAGAGATTTGGAAACTCTAGTATGCTTGTTGATTCTATCCGAGTGGCAGCATTTCAAGGCCAGCCCCTTGCTGATCATCCATCTATTAAGAATGGACGTCCACCTGGTGCCCTTACCATGCCTCGGGAGCCTCTAGTTCCAGCAACCGTTGGAGAGGCAATCAGTGTCATTTCTTGCTGGTATGAAGATAAGACTGAATGGGGACATGAAGTTGGGTGGATTTATGGATCTGTGACGGAGGATGTTGTCACAGGGTATAGGATGCATGAACGGGGATGGAAATCTGTCTATTGCGTGACCAAGAGGGATGCTTTCAGAGGGACTGCTCCTATAAATCTAACTGATCGACTTCATCAGGTTCTGAGGTGGGCCACTGGCTCTGTTGAGATATTCTTCTCCCGCAACAATGCCATTTTGGCTGGCCCCAAGTTAAAGCTTCTGCAAAGGATTGCCTACCTCAATGTTGGAATCTATCCTTTCACCTCCATTTTCCTCATTGTTTATTGCTTCCTTCCTGCACTTTCCTTATTTTCCGGTCAGTTCATAGTCCAGTCTCTCAATGTAACCTTCCTCGTGTACCTATTGATCATCACCTTGACCCTTTGTGCCCTTGCTGTGCTTGAGATCAAGTGGTCTGGCATTGAACTAGAAGAATGGTGGAGGAATGAGCAGTTCTGGTTAATTGGAGGCACAAGTGCCCATCTTGCTGCAGTACTCCAGGGACTACTGAAGGTGCTTGCAGGGATTGAGATATCATTCACTCTAACATCAAAATCTGCTGGGGATGATGCAGACGATGATTTTCTTGATCTCTACATCTTCAAGTGGACATCCCTGATGATACCGCCACTCACAATCATAATGGTTAACTTGATTGCAATAGCAGTTGCATCTGTGCGCACAATATACAGTACCAGTCCCCAGTGGAGCAACTTGCTAGGAGGTGTGTTCTTTAGCTTCTGGGTTCTAGCTCATCTCTATCCCTTTGCAAAGGGACTAATGGGAAGACGGGGAAGAACACCGACTGTTGTATATGTCTGGTCAGGACTTATTGCAATCTCTATATCTCTACTTTGGGTGGCCATTAAACCCCCAGCAGCGAATACAGACATAGGAGGATCATTCCAGTTCCCTTGAGTTCCAAGTGTAGAATAGGTATATTGTTTCGACATTTGGGCTTCGCCATTGTTTATTATAGGGAGAGATTATGTACATTGTTACATCCATTCTTTTTTTAAACACATTTGGCCTTAGAAATTGAATAATAACAGATTTATTCTACCCTTTTGTTGGTTCTTTACATTGACAATGAGGCTTTGTGGCAGGAGAGTTTCTTGTTAGAAATCTTGAGATATACATTTCGTTTTAAAGTGTTTTGACAAGAAAAACTATATATTCATGTAGTGTAATGAATTTAATAGAAATATAAATCATTCTCTTTATAAAAGACAAATTAATTCCACTGATTATATATTTATATCAACCTCCCTCAGAGAATTCTTATAACTTTTCTAGATAGTTTTCCTGAAAAGACAGATCAATTCCGAAAAACGTATATAAAGTTCAGCTGAGAACAACAAAACAAATCGGTTCTATGGTGTAGTGGTTAGCACTCTGGACTTTGAATCCAGCGACCTGGGTTCGACTCCCGGTAGGACCTTTTTTATTTTATTTTTTTTCTTAGAATTTAATTTTGCTGTTTGATAATTGATATTAAAATATTGATTAGTAACAAAATATATATCATAATGTATTGAAATAAGACATGAATTTATTTCATAATGCGGAATTTTTTTTTTCTTGAACATACAAATTAAAGAGTTAGATTAAATATCAAATCAAGTCATAGTCACAATATTAATTGGACTTAAGATAAGCACAACACTCATAATTGGTCTTTCTTCTGGTCCACTTCAAAATTGTATAACACGCAATTACAACTTCTCTTGTTTCTATATTACCTACAATCGCATCATTTTAATGGTATAGTTTTCAAGTTTAATCAAATTAATTGATGTGACATTATCAATTAATTAATTTTAAAGTATAGTTTAACATGATTGATTATGACTGATTAATCCTCTACAACCAATGGGCTAGTTTCCGTTGTTTGTTGCAAATGGATTTTGTCAATGATAATATACTGTTTAATAAAATATTAGAATGAAAAATTTAATTAGTTTTAAGTTAATACATTTAAATAAAGGGAGAAACAAAACACAAGGTAGTTAAGGCTGACCTAGTCAACTACTATTTAAAATATTTGAAAAATTAAATAAATAAATGATGGTTTAATTGAAATCTCTCGATATACATGAATGAAATCTAATTCTTTTAAAAATAAATAAATAATCATCTATTTACTTTTGATAAATTTAAACCGTCTGTTTATACTAAAAAAATATATATAATAACTATAATTAAGTATTTTCAAGATTATTGAAATAATTAGTTATAACTAGACATATTTGTTTCCAAATAAACTAATCTATTTCTAGAAACTCACAAAAATAAGACTTTAAGGTTGAAAATATACTAAAAAGACAAAACACACTTAATTATTGTCAATTATAACAATTCCTTTCAAGCCAAAGAAAGATATTTTGTTTGAAAAATTAGTGTTTTAGACACATAACCTAGGATTATGTGTAGTGTGTAATAGATAATTATAATTATAATTGAAATTAAAATTAAAATTAATTTTTTTATAATAAATAAATAAAAGTGTAGTATTATTGGATATTTTTGGTTATGTATAAATCATTAAGAAAAAAATCTAACACCCACCTAATTAACATCATTTTCAAATGTCCATTTGTCCATTCTCAGACCATTCACATAATTGTCATAGAGTTTGGTAATTTATTGTCTTTGCTTATTACAAACCGTGAAACCGAAAATTTAAAAAAGAAAGAAAATAATATGAGAATCTCAATACAAACAAGTCCATCAAAATCCCACCAAACTTGGACCAATTCACTACTATATTTTATTATTTCTAACTTACATACACAACCAAGAACAAAACTATATAGGGGACCAATCGGCGAAAATAAAATAAAACCATATTATAATTTAATTAATTTACAAATAAAAAAAAATTACATATCCGGATCCTCGGATGTGCTTGTAACCATTGCGAATTCTGACCGATGGTCGCGTTTATGCTTTCGACTCTTTTGGCTACCTCCAAATTTCAATCTACCGGTGTTTTTAAAACGTCGTTGTTCTGAAGGAACAATCACACATTCAGGTAATGGTGTGGGATACCTTAGTATGTCGTAGCAATATGAATAGTACATGAAATGTTCTCGGAACCGGCGCATGGATCGTCTACTTTTTGGCAAGATCGCGGCGTACTCTTTGGCAGAAAGCTGAGTCTCAGTGTTGAGGCAATCTTTGAAAGGGAATTCCTCAATTGGGTCAACAGGGCAACCTTCGAGTACTAGTTCTTTAAATTCTGCAGTAAAGGGACCATATTTGTAGTTAACTTTGTTTCTTCCACCAGAAGTTGCCCAACTTGAGGCATCCCAAATTGTAGCATATAGAGACATCGGCTTTGATGGGAAGTCACTGCCCATCGCCGGAGTCCGAACAACTTCCCTTATCGGAACTTCATCGATATAAAATCTGATCATAATTCAAATTACAAAAAAAGAAAAAAAAAAAAAAACTGTTAAAAACCCATAAATAGTTTTAGATAAAATGAATGTATCGTTATTTTTGAAACTTAAAACCACTAACTTATAATAGATTAGAAGTATTCCCACCTGTGGTTGGTCCACCATTTATGTTTGATTTATTATATAATATAGTATTTAAAAAATTATTAATACGAAAATATTGAAAATAAAATAGACCAAATACAGGAAATTCGGAGAAAACTTTCCAAATTAAATTTAGGCAACTGGGTATTAGGCATTATTAATGGAAAATGGCCTAAAAAGCAGCCTAAACATAATCTTTTTGTATTTATTTTGCTTTTAGGTAATCTTTCATATCCACTAATTGAATTAACATCCCACCCGCAACCCCAAACTCTTCTTAATTTTCTCTCTTGTGTGGCCAAAAAACTCTATATTATAAAGTGTGTATAAAATCTTTTTTAATATTAAAACTATAGGTTATATAACTAATGTTGATATTAAATTAACGTACATGATATTGTTAGCCGTCCAAAGAATGCTATATCGATGATACTCCTTACTGGGATCAAACCAGAGCCGGTATCTTTCTTCTCTACCACGATGAGTGCTACCGTTACCGTAAAAATTAGTCTGAAATCTCCATGGCTTCCCGGCAACGTTACCCAGGAACTCAAAGTCTAATTCATCGTGCGTCTTCTCGAACACATCAGCATTTGATGTCTGCAATATTTTTTTTTTTTTTTTATTATGAAGAACAACGAACCATGAAAAAGGAAAACAAAAATAATATTGAAAGAAAGAAAGAAAAGAAATTAATAAACGAAACCCTTCTACTTACATAGAAGGCTACACATATACCGGCCGTATAGTACGACGGCAACTTGATCATGGCGCTGAAGAATCCGTGATTATACAGTCTTGATGATATGAAACCGGCCCCTGAAATATATAAGAAATTTATATTTATATCTATGTATATGATAGTATTAATTATATTTAAAACTTATAGTTTGTTTTTTTTTACCAGAGGCACGATTGAGGATGAGACGAGCGTTTCGGCCATCGGGAGAGCGAACGAGATTGCCTTCGCCGAAGAGATGAGAGTAACCTTCATCGAAAGAGATGGTGGAGACGTTGAAAGCCGATGAAGCTGTAAAGATAAAACTGAAGAAGCAACACAAATATACAGGAAGGAGAGACCACTTTGATGATGACCAATCCATTTTTTTTTTTTTTTTGGATTTAATTTATATATAATAAATATATCTCCTTCAGACTCTCCGTTGCTTTTTCTGAGACCGTGATTTATACACGAGAAGAAGAAGGGAATAGGGATGATGAGAATAGTATAATTTGGCTGCTGGTGTTTTGTATTTATGTGTGGACGATAATACCCTTCTTTCTATAATATTTACTCACTTTGCCACGGGCTGCAGTCAATGTTTTCGACAAAGACGCGGTTGCGTATGTGTCTTTTAGGATAATTTAGTGCTGACATGTAAATTACCACAATCATTCCAAAATTAAAAAAATAATAGTACCTATTTTTTATAATTAATAAATCAGTTTTAAATAAATTTATTTTATATAAATTTACGCCCATGTATGCGTATACGTTAAATTAATTGAAAAGGCAAATTTACTGTCAATATTATAATCGTGGTTTAAAAATATGTTAAATTTCGAGTTAGTAGGGGGAATTAATTTTATTTGAGTTTGAGAGTACATAAATTGAGAATCTTTATCTCTATAAATATTATAAAAATAATAAAATAATATTCTTAAATAAAGACAAAAAATACAACTAAGATGATGTGGACATGGATATTCATGTATATATTTTTAATTATCAATTAATTACAAGGTAAGCTTCCATTTAGATTTTGCTAGATACTCTTCAATCATACATTATAAAACAATTTAGTAGTAGTTAGTTAGTTACACTACTTAATTACAATTTTAATATTTATTCATATAATCCATCTAAATATTATTATATTTATAAGAATAATTTATTTATATAATCCATCTAAATATGTATTAATTAAGAGACGTAATTAGTTGTTCAACTAATAAATTTTAGTTATTATTATTATTATTGGGCTCAACGCTACATGTCAAATTATGAGTGTGCCATACATTGTTTTCAATAACATCATCATATTGTCCATCACATAATTTAGAGTAATAATTATTAACACTTAAAAAAGGAACTCTAGAAAAAAAGAAAAAAAAACAAAGTTTATAGTATAAAAAATATTTCATGAAATTTCAAGGATTTTTTAATTTATCTTCACAATTTTTTTAAAAAGAGAAAATGGATGATTATATATTAATCAATAATTATTTAATACGAATTTTTGGTTTAAATATTATTTAATAAGTTGACCAAACGCAAGTGGTTACAATAAAAAGTGTCAATTAATTATAATTATTGCTACTTTTTTATGGATAATATAATAAGGGTTGTTATGGTTAGGAATTAAAGAAATAAATAATTATGATGAAGTGGGTGTTTTAGTAAAATAAGTGGCACTTTGAGGGTATAATTGTCCAAGTGTGAAAGGAACAGAGAGAGAAGGCGTACCTCAAACGTTACGTAATTATAGATAGAATAGAAGGGCATTTTGGGAAATGAATACAAGTTTTAAAAACAGAGAAATCTTCTTCGGTTTGGAGGCTTGCAAGTTGCAGCCGAAAGACCGCGTCAGAGAAAAACGGCGGCGTTTTCAGCGTTGTCATGTCATAACCTCTTGTTTTCTTCTCTAATGTCTAATCTCCATATTTCTTCCTTTAATTACGTCCTTCTTGTCAGGTACAATATTAATTTTCTTAATTTTTTAATATTTATTATATCATAATTGAAATAATCGTTAATTCTGGTTAATTTATGGTATGACTAAGAAATAAAAGGCTGACGTGGAGTCGCGTGACGAAACGTAGTCTGCTCCCGTCAGAACGGTAAGCGTACGTCAGGCCTGTCAAATGCCCTGGTGTTCCCACGTGTCCGCTAGTCTGCTCCAAATCACGTGAAATCGGCTTGGAAAATGGGTAATGGGACGTAAAATCAGATTAGGTCTTGACAATCACATCAACCCAAGGATTTAGTGATGATTGTACACATTCAACTGGGTATAAGAAGAGGAAGACCCCTTCATTAAGGGGATTCGACAATTTTACATTTGTATTCTCTCTCTCTATACAAAGCATTGTATAGACTATTTAATCATTTATAAGTCAGTCCGCTTTAGCAACCTGACCCACCATATCAATACACATCAGTGGACGTAGGATATGCTACCTTAGCATCCGAACCACTTTAAAAACTCTCATAGCATTTATTCCGTATTCATAATCTGTATTCACGTGCGTTCTTTGCCCAATCAACGTTACGCAATTGTCGATTGGTTGGTGTCTAAATCACGCATCAACAATTTATTACGATCAATAATTTCTCACATTATGAGTATGTTATTAGAGCAAATATTATAACATCTCAGAGTTATTAGGTTTGTGTTTGCTCATAAGGTCCGGAATTAAGCTAAAACTCTAATTTTAAACTCGGTTCATAAAAGGAAGTAAGAGATTTTTAAATTATTACACATAGAAGTATATTAATTTAAACATAAACAAACTAAAGCGTGAAAGTTAAATCAACCCTTTAATAAATCTTGAGTTCGAGTCTCTCTTCGATTATTAATAGGGGTGATTGCTGGAGTTCTTAAGTCGAAGATAAGTTGAGAGAAGATCAAAGTTTGAATTGATTTTCACACGAGTGGACACTCAAAGTATAATCCTGGCTGGTAGTATTCTGGTTCAATTTGGGAACATTTTTGATGAAAAAATGAGCAGTGGTTATACGCAAAGCTGATATTCATATTGATGATTCTTGAATATTGACCTACCTTAAGAAGGACTTGTGCAAAGTGTTTTATATAATAGTAATAAATGTCTGGGAATTTGATCCTCCTTTAAAAAAAATATTATGAGTTTGAACGCTTTTTAATTTGCAAGGTCAAGTACAGCTACTTGTCAGAGTAGTCATCAAGTAAAGGTTTGGTTTGGCATCAGCCATCATTCTTTTGCAAAAGGCTATAAAGAGATTAAGGGTATTATGGACATTTTCGAACAAGTTTTAAAATACACACACAAAAAAAAAAAAAAAAAGAATTAAATTCTGTTAGTTCAGATTAAATTTAACGGAAAATGATTTTAAAAAAAACATCAATACCCTTTAAAAAGTATTTAAAGAAAAAACATAAAAAATTCAGGTTATTATAAAAATTAAAAAAAAATAAAACTTTTAAATTTGAAAGATAAATTTGTTAAAAACTGAAAAAAATTAACAAATATATTATAATATTTTCAATCATTATAAATTAAAAAATATGATTTTATAGTTTTAAAACTATTTTTAAATTTATAAATACTTAACGAAGTATTCGGATTTGAATTACCTTTTTACCCTCCTTTAAAGTTAAATCTAACATTCTCTTTAAATTATTTGTCCTTCTTTTTGTTTGTTTTAAAACTTGTGTCCTTTCCATTGGTTTTCAAAAAGGTGTCCACAAATTGATAAAACCAAAGAAATTAGAGATACCCGACTTTTTTTTAACTTTTTTTAATCTATTAATTACCCATTAACATTTCTAATTCACCGCACTTTTACGTTTTTGACAACTGTCGCTTTTTAATTATGTGCTTAAACCATTCAAATTGAAGCCTCCCACAAGGTTCATGAAAATAATTGAAACTTAAAAGCTAAGGTTTTAAAGGTACTGTTTGACCTTGATACAAAGCGCAATAATTATTCCCCAATTTGTAATTTTCAAAACTGTTAGAAGCGTTTGGTTGGGGATAATGTGGGATTATTAGGGTTATATCATCTTATATTATTTGATTACAACGTTTGGTTATCAAGTAATATAAGATTCCGGTAATATTCAAATACCAATAGTAGTTACTGTTGGTAATATTAGAGGTAATCTAATTACCTTCATTTTCTTAGGTGTTGTAAGATTACGAGGATAATCTTTTTTTGTTACAATTCTATCCCTTATTAATAAAATTTTAGGACAATAATACCCTTATTTTTAAATTTATTTACATGAATTTGCTTTTACCATTTCACCCCAATTAATTTATTTTTTGGATAAAATTACCCTTGACTTCAAAACAAATTGCAACCCATCCAAGCCACCACCCCCACCCCCACCAACCTGCAGTCGACAACCATCACTGCAGCTAGAACAACGCACAGAAGGCCAAAAATGGCCACCGTGTGCCGATATGACCATTTTCGGCCAGATCTGTCACGTCTAGCCATTTTCGACCAAATCTCTGACCGAAAATGGCCATACGACGCACATAGGCTAATTTCTGCCTTCCGTGCATTGTTAGGTTGCCAACGGCCTGCGGTGGTTGCCGATGGCCGACATTCCCTGAACCAAATGCCCCCTTAGGGGTAAAGAGTGATAAGCTAGCTAATGGTGGACACTCCAAAAGAACGAAATTGCATCACCAGATTCTACTACTACATCTACAATACAGCGACTTCTCTTTTTTAATTTTCTTCCTGCGTTTACAATGTTTCTGGCTTTCTCAGAGTATGATTGCGAAAAGGTTTTGTTTGGTTGAGGCATGTCATGGTTTAAATCACAAGACAACCTAAAAATAAAAAAAAAAATATTTAGATTACAATCTATGGAGCTGTGAAGATCATCGGTAATCAACGAAACTAATGAAACGGATATTGTCGTTAGCCTTTAACAAACGGGTATTTTGATTCAACGTCAGTTTCTGCATCCCACAGGAATGATCCAAATGCTACTGCCTCCAACACTAGCATAGTTAATCCAGAAAATGTGAGTGCTACCACTTCATCATTAGATGTGTCGATAGAACCATCTTCAAGAATTCTGATATCGGGTCTCCCGAACAGGGCTTGTGTTTGCTTTTCAATCAGTGAAATAGCTTCCTTGGACCTTATGGTTGCATATCTTTGAAGTGTCTCTGCATCTAAATACATTACGTAGGATCTCAGCCTATATGATTTGCTGTCACTGCCATCCATGAACCCTCCGATATCACTATCACCATCATCATCAGGTTGGATTCTGATCAAGGAATCTGGATCCCAAAGCCGGATCCCTGGAGATGGATCTTCATATCTTGCCCTGTCTTTATTGAAACCTTCAGGAAGTGTATTCATAGTTCTCTCCAGTTGAAATCGTTGATCAACTCTTCTGAGGAAGTATCCATACATTATAGAAGCAGCATACAACTTTCCTAGTTTAATTTTACTAATCTCAACAATGGTATCAAGGGGACCAACCATTCGCTCCCCAAGTACTAGAGACAAGTGGCTCTGTATCATCTCAAATGCTTCAGGAGAATGAACAGATTCTAGCTTCTGTTCTTGGTTTGGCCAAAAATCCACCCGTCCAACAGGATCAGCGGTTGCTGTTATCCTAGGAATCATTGAAATGTCATTTTCAACAAATTTCTGCACAATCAAGCAGTATATTATCTCCTCCAATGCATTCCGTCTTTCCTTCTCTTTGACTTCACCTATTCTCCTACAAATCAAGGCTTCTATATTACTCGCTATGAAGTAATGGTAACCAAAACATTTAGAAATTAACAGTTGAAAATAATTAGGCTGATAAGTAGAAACCAAACACCTAAGAACACCCTCAAAATGAAGCACAAACTAAAATCCTTGGTAATACATATTTTAGCATCTTGGATGCATGGGAAGAACCGACAAAACTGTAAGAAAAGGCACTCTTAAGTCTTCAGTATGGCATTTTGGCAGAATGCAGTATAATTAACTTTATGAAAGTTTATTATTGAGCACCGGTACTTTGTCATGTCTGTCTAATTCCAACAAATATTAGATCTCAAACAAAATCAACCTTTCATAATCCCTTTTTTCCTTATAAAAAAAAAAAAAAAAAAAAAAACACCTTTCATAATCTCTTTAGGCTGAGCAGTCAGTTAATGTTGGTTCAGCATCTGCCAAACTGTTCCTTCAAATTAGTCCACAACTTCCTGGACGCCGAAAACACGTTAAACCATTGTGTCTCTTTGTGTAGTATATGATTAATTTCATATGTTTAATCTTGACATCTAATATGCTTCCACATGATTTCATAGCATAAGAAATATTCGAGCCTCTAGTGGATTCTTTCATGATGCTTGCTGATTCTTCAACTAAAAAGTGTCAATTGAATCCTCATTCTTATTTACCTAAGCAAATGGATATTGAATGCTTGGGTTGGTGAGTTCTCTACATCAGTGAAGGATAAAATTTGTTTGTAGGTTCACTAGACAAATCTGCCAACTGCAAGGATGTCTTCTGTTTCAATCCTACTAAACTTTTGAGTTTTCCCACTAAGGAAGAATGATCCAGAAACAAAAGAGTAATTTAGTGGTCATGTTAGGAATTTAGGTATTTAAGTCAAGGGACTTTGCCTCGAATTACCAAATGAAAATGTTGGTTTTTTCTCTCAGCTCTTCCTAATTCCTCTTACTTCTCCCCGTTTCGTATACTTCTAGTTTTATCCTGTTTCTTGTCCATCTCCTCTCAATTTCTTCCTCTCCCATATTTTCTGTCTTACCATCCTACATCAATTGCAGTACAATTGATGGAATCATTGTTTAGGGGGTTACGGGCTACTGGTCAAGCTCATGAAAACAATTCACCATTACATCAAAGCTAACCCTAATGTGGACTACATTAAATAGTAATTATAGGTTTTTTTTTTCTTCCCAAATTTAATCATTTCTTTATAGTAAATCCCAAAAATTTCAAGGTCACATGGTCCACTTGCATCTTTTTTCTTTCATTGAGGACAACAGTGGTATTTACAGATTAAATACAACCAAACCAGGATTTTAACTTATGGAACACAATGGTCAGGAAAGTTAGAAACCATTCTTTTAGGATGAGAGGATTGCAGGTATTTGTCCAACCCACAGAAGCCAGTTATAAGTTTCTGAATTTCTATAATATGGGAAGGAAACCAATATTTCAAATGTATCTAAGGTGATACCTACCATAAGACTATCTACTTTAATATATTAGAAATCAGACTTTGCTAAACACAAGACATGTCTAAGAGTTTTAAAAAAGCATGTTGAATTTTTCAAGGTTCTAGAAGAATTCAAGGCACCAACTACTAACAATAACAACCCAAACATTTCATCCCCAACACACACCACACAAGAAGAGCCTCTCCCTTTCCTATCTCCCAAAGCCTTGAGAAAAGTCATAGAATACCTCTCTTTATGCAAAGGTAATCCGGTATTCTTGTCACAATGTCAACACAAACCACAACACCAATGCAACTCAAGTCAACTAAGCCGTAGTCTAACTGAACGGCATGCCTATCAAATTGTCTCCAATATTGCATTCTTTGACTTGGAATTTCTTGCTCTACAAAGCAGTAGCCTAAGGAATCATGTAAGTGACATCATTTTTGTAAGTAATGATGCAAAAATACGTCATGCTCCTAATACACGAATATTCTAGCACATAAAAAGAAACAGAATGCTTAAATCAAAAGACGGATATTGAACTCACTTGTAGAGAAGATCTTCAGAAGAAGCATCTTGTCTCTGGATATCTTTATCAGTTTGAAGGTTGTCGAGCTGCTGATCTATAGCAGCAGGAAGTAAATGCGGATGCGTCTGCAATATCTGCGCCAAAAGCTGGCCGACAGGAGATTCAAAGCGAAGAGGAGCAATCGGCACCAAATCACCACTCGGATCCCCTGACGCTGCTCTAACAGTTACGCCTCTTCCTTGGCACTTATCCGTTCCATTTCCTAGCTTCGGAATGCAGAAAGACGAATATCTCTAAAACAAAATTCATAACCAAAAATTAAAAAAACAATAAAAAAAAAACGAGGTAATAGAAAATCACAATTAGCAGAAGATTAGGGAGAAGCTCAAGCTTAAGCTTACTCTGAGAAAGCAAGGAGAAGAACCAGAGAAGGAGAGTGAATGGAAGGTTCTGAAAGAGAAAGGAGCAGTTGAAGAACAAGGACTCAAAGTCAAAACCTCGCTGGCTAGTAGTCCTGTTAATTTCATTCTTCTTCTTCTGCAACTACCGCTACTTGCGCTCACTACTTTTCTCTGGATTTGTATAGTTGGTTAAGATATTTTTGCACTTTCGTGGGTATTTATAGACATGCCAACCAACGTCGTCGTTTTTAAATAAAACTCCAACAACCTGAGCATCTTTTTTCCGTTTGGATCTCAAATAAAATATTTAGCAACACTACAGCCTGTGTACAGCAACAACCGCCGATTTGTTTAGTATTTTTATTAACTTTTATATTATAAAGAGAAATGTTACGTTGGTACAACTGCTATCCTATTATTCTGCTATCGGGCTTCTGATTATTTTACTGAGGAGCTTTTTCTCAGCCGTCTCCTTCTGCTTCTGGCAAATATCAACTCAAAATATAGAAGCAAAAGCAAGATACATCAACCCCAGGAATTATTAGAGTTGGTATATTTACCAAAATAAGAAATGGAGAAAAAACAAGATGTAGAACAAGTACAGCATTGTTTAAAAAAGTTAATTTAATCCTTCTCTGATCACAAATTCATCATCAACCATTCATATTCATATTCAATACAGATAGATTACTCTTAAAAATCTTGCTTGCTACTACTACCCTCTTTTTAAACAGACAAGGGTAATGCCACAATTTCGCACTCCGCTTATCATCCCAGGCCTTCATTTCGTAAAGAGAGAGGCTCAACAAGGGAATGGGGAATGCTATGAGAGAAACACATCCTACAACTATCCAAAAAAAAAAAAAAAAAAAGGTCAGCTGTGATAAAATTTAAGCTACATTCTATGCAAAACAACTTTCAGTCGCTAATTGGTTAGGTCATGCTCCTGGAAAGTGGCACCAAGGCAAGGCAGCCACGGTCGGTCCTAGTGACCACTCTGCACCAGCTCACTTTGCCCCATCTGTTGTGTATCATTGCTCAAATGTTGGTCATTCCTACCTGACCTCAGATCTTCTTGCCCAGGAACTTCCCCTAGTCGCTCCTGTATAAATACCCAAAATTTAATAACTAAAAATATATTATATGCAAGCCTCAACTTCATAGATCTTGAGTTTGGCGTGTTCCAACTCAATAGGAATTGCAACTACTCAACATTCTTTCTGTATTATTCGTCTTAACCAACTTTGTTATTAATAAAGTTCTCTGAGGCGAAATCACAGTGACCAAATGATCCTGAAACAGAGCTAAAGTTCTAACATTCTGTTTAACATCCATGGGGCTCTTTGCTATTTATTAACCAATTAGTGCATTTGGGTGTGCAATGCAAGGAGGGAACAGGGTGATGATTGAGGAAAACAGACATTATCATGATTAAACATCACCTTCAGAGTCGCATTCTCCGCAAGAAGTTGCTCATAATCACTCCTGATTCGATTCACTTCTGATCTTAGATTGGCATTTTCCTCTTTCAAAGCTTCAGCACGCTGTGCAAGCTCATCACATTCCGCCTGACTCAAAGTTTATAAGCAGTATTTGAGTTAAGGTGCCCACACAAAATTAGTACAGAATAACACCCACCTCATTTTTATCAAGCAAGTCCAAGGACACGTCATTACCTGCTTACGCAATCGCGACCGCCGTGCAGACTCTCTGTTGGACTGCTTCCTTCTCTGTCTTTTAATCTCACGTTCATCCTAAATCCAAAAGGCACAAGTTTTACCAATATGAAATAGAAATTAAAATAAATAAATAAATGTGTAAAATATATACATCTCATTCTGTTTATCTCTTATCCAAACACTGACAGATCAGATACAGAAACCTAACACAGATTAAGGTGCAACTCAGGGAGGATGGCGAGAGAGAGAGAGAGAGAGAACATAATCCAGAAATGTAAGTCCAATAGGAGCAATATTTTGAATGAAAGTTCATAAAAATTAAAAATAAGAGGTGATAACATAAATGAATCACTCAATAACTAGGAGAAAGTTGAAATGTAAAGATGGTTGAAAACTGATAAAGCGAGTTAATTGTAATACAAAATGGTACTTTGACAGATGAAACCTAGTTATGTTGGTCAGTTTATGAATTACGAGATCTAAAGGCCAGCAACATTTGGTTTGATTGAAACCTTGTATATTTAACATCCATCAAATTTTGGTATTAATTTTGGCCATCAACATATATAATTGGACCCACGTTTCGATCTTAATGGATCCCCACCAAAATAAAGGCGTTCACAGCTTTACTAGTCAGTACCTATTTTTGGACATTATAAGGAACAAAACAGAAAGAGGTGATATCAAACATTTAATATAAATTTTGCACGAAATTCAATTTTTCAAAGTCCGAAGAAAAACCCAACATTCTGAATTTTTCATCTTACAGTCACAAACTTTTCTCCTATAAAGTTAACAGAAGACATGAATAAGAATGAGAAGATAAACAATAAACTATAACAATGAAGCAGATAAACTTAAAATGAAAATCAATTATATTGACCTGTAACCAAAGCTGTGACTGAACATTGTCCCGTGATCCAGCAGTAACCATTCCTCCAGCAACAGGAGTTGAAGGAACCTTGCCTCGTATCGCAGGCATATTGGATGAAGCTGGAGCACCCCAGTAGTCCATTCCAATATTTAAGTTTGTTGTGGGTCCAGGAACAGCTCCAGGAGCAGCGGCAGCTGACATTGGCATTATGGTCATTGTTTGATTCACCATAGGATGAGATGTATTTGGTCCTCCATTTTGAGAACCATGTGCAGAACTGCCATTCTGAGATGCTTCACCTGAAATAGACACATTACCAAGATTTTTCATTAATAAATATATATAAACACCAGAGATTAAATGAAGAAAGAATGATATAATTATCTAACCTTCCGCAGAGTCTTGCCTGCATCCAGACTTCATCTGTGAGCCCTACAAAAACCAATGATATTTTATATAAAAGGGGTATGCAGACTTCAGAGCATATACAGACTTCATCTCTACCCAGAAAAGAGGTATGCAGCAACTGTGTAAAAAAAGGTGTCAAATGATGATGGCAGGTGCAGGAACTGGTAGCTGGCTACCTCCAGAATCAGCATATATTAGAAAGCTTTCAGTAAGAACACCTTTAGGCTCTACCTCAAAGTGAAGCAGTCCTAAAATTCCTCAACACCCAGAGCTTTCTTGTAATATTTTGCATACAGAAGGTCATGCTCGTACATTCTTATACCTCAGGTCATGAGGCACAATCCTTCTTATTCTTCTCTCTCTTTCATCTCTTTTTCAAGCAAAATTTTTTTTATGAAGATTGGAACCAAATTCTCCTATCACATATTTTTTTGTCAAACTGTTTCAAAAACAAACATGAAGCTTTCACATGTACAAACATCAACTCTTGCTCATAAGCTCTATCAACTATAGCACAAGTATGGAATACTATTCAATGTGCAAGACAAGGTAACAACTACATATATATCTAAGGGTGAGTCTGTTTAGTTGGCAGTAAAAAGACCAGGATACAATTCGAAGACTTATGTCAGGTTCTTCATAAAATAGCATCCAAAATATTTTAGTATTAAATTCGGTAACTTTTATTTTGTATTTAAAAAGTAAATCCAACTTTTTTTTTTTTTTTGCTTCTTTTTCATACATCTGTTAAAAAAACAACAATTTGCTTGACTAGTAATTTATGAGAGCCATAAACTCATGAAACATCCAATTTATAAAGTACTAGATAGATGTCAAAAGCATGGTTCCTACCCTGAATAAACCAATAAAATACAGAAGAGATCCAGAAACAATGAACAAACTGAATCAAAACGCACTTACATTCTGAGAATTGGCATCACTTCCTTCACTTGTACCCTCACTTGCACTCTCTCCACTACATATCCAGAATTATTCCAATATCAGATAAATTACTAAGTAACAAGATGACACAGCGGCATTGATTTGCTACTAGTGAAAAGTCAAAAGTACAAAAGATCTTGCATGATAAGAAAACAAAAATGAACTTTTACAAATTTCTTGGATTTGTTATGTATCATACTGGCAATACAATAAAGAAAGATGTAGGATCATTCAGATAAATAAATGAGCAAGAAGACTCAATATGCAAATATTAAACCCTTCTAGAAACAGATGTTTCAACAAAAAATAGATAAATGCATTCAGTAATATGTACCACAAACCAGGTGCAGAAGCTAAGTCCTCAAGACCTAATGCACATTACGCATAAAGCAACCAACAACATATATCGTAACTATATAAGTTATTCACTACATATACAGTAATACCTTTTAGAATAGGCTCCATTAGCAGATGCTCCTGATGTTTTAGCAAGTTCATTATTCTTCCCAGCGATCAAATTCAAACTACCCAAACTTCCTTTTGATCTTTTAATCGGCAACTTTTCCTTCACATCAGATGGTTTACCATCTGCTTCCATGCTTCCTGGAGTATTTCCCTACATAGGAAACTACAAATTAGTTTTAATGTAGGCATACAGACAAAATATGCCTAGGTAATAGAACATTAGAAGGAAACTCACAGATGCTTCAGCGATCCCATTTGGGGAAGGCATTGCAAAAGGACTAAAAGGATAAGATCCCTGCACGAGATCCAAACATGTAATTTAAGGTAGTGAATAAAAAATACAAACGCTCAATGACAAATGATGATCTGAAATCTGAAACTAAATCATTATGGAAAAGAAATTACCGGAGGCATGGATGGATGGGCATATATGCCGCCATGGGGATACATTGCAACATATGGATGTGGTGGGGTAGCATAGGGAGGCATAAGATGCTGCAACAAAAAAAATATATAATTTAAAAAAAAAAAAATTTGAAATTTTGAAGGCCAATTTCATTAGTATGGATTATTCCTATCCTCTCCACCCCAACAACATTGTATGGCAGGACCAATGCCGGGAATTCACGTGTTCCATTTCACCACATTGGCATCAACACACAGTAATATTTTTTGAAGATTATCTATAATAAGCCTCAAAGAACTGCATACTAAAACTATTAGTGGTATGAACTATCACTACTTCCTCTTGAAAATTCACATGTTAATCTTTAAAGTCAACTACATAATCACTACCATAATATAATAACTGAAGTTCAATAATCATAATATAATAACTGAAATCCAATAATCATAATTAACTGAACCTAAAGATGATACAAAAACCATATATACCTGAACCCCCCACATGTATGGGTGAGCTTGGGGACTTGATGCCAAGAACCCATGAGGAGGTATAGGAGAATATGCCTGTTAATAAAGATGCAACCAGTCCAGATTACAATTAAACAACAATTTAAAGTCAAACTGAACTACCCAAGTCAAAGATCTTCCTATCAAACCTGAAATCCGGACCAGTCTGGATTCACAGTGCCAGTGCTAGTAGTTGCAGTCTGCTCCTGAACCCCGATAAATAAACATCAATACATAGGAAAGAAACATATATAAAAAATTATGAACTTAAGGAAGCAACAATACACTCAAACAAAATGCAGTAGACCTGTGTGGTAGCAGCGGGCGGCATCTTTGCTTCCTTTTCTTTAGCTTGCTTATCCACCTCACTGCTGCCCATGACTCTATATCACCACTTCTCAATAAATCCTCACACCATCCTACAATGGCAATACAATATATTCACATCACAATTTCCATTTTCTATCCTTTTCTCTTCGCATAAAATAATTAAACTAACACCTTAAATTTAACGGGTGCAAAAGCTAACGAAATTAACAGCTACCAAAATCCAACTTTAATTTTTTTAGCTAAAGTACACATCTAATTATGGAAAATCACTGCTTTAATCACCAAACCCCAAACCAAAGAAAGCACCAATAATACTTTACAAAAGCAATACAACTATACAACCCCTAACATGCATCAAAATTTCAACTTTTTTTCTAATGACGAAATCAGATTTCTGAATCATGAAACGAAAACCCTAAAAGAGAACAAATTCAAACTAACATGCATGTAATGGAACTTTAACAGGACAGATGAACATAAAACTAATAAATAAACGAGAAACCAGATAATTAATATCTAGACTCATGAAATTGACATAATTAAAATTCCAATTACCGAAATGAAAACATAAACGAAATCTGATCCGCTGAGAAAGGTAAAATGAAAGATTTCGAGCTCAAATTGGGCGAAAATTATTAACGAAATCGATAGAAAGACTTGAAGAGAACAAATTGGAAAAGATCAGGGAGAATTAAAATAGATTAGATTAGATTAGGGTTTGTTTGTTTGTTTTTTGGAAAGAGGAAGAAGGCTTACGGATCGGATTCTGTGGGTCGTCGAACGGTTAGTCGATTTCTCTCTTCTATTTTGCGCTCAAAATGGTAATCCCTATTTTGCCCCACTTCCCTTATTTATTTTTATTTTTATTTTATTTTTGTTATATTATATGGTACTCACAAAATTATTATTCAAAAGTTCAAAATATTGTACGAAATGTATAATTATTATTGCAAATTCGATGTATGATCTGTCAACCTTTATCATAATATTTGTATAAATTTTAAATGTTATTGAACTTACTGAGTGTTATAATTATAAACTTTATGAAATGATATTGATTAATCTCATGATTTGATGATCATGATATATTGATATATAATGGACTTGTATTTTTTATTTATTAAGGAGAGAGGAAAATAAATAATAATTATTATTATTATAAAATGTGGATAATTAATTTAATTGATTATAATTTATAATGTAAAATATCATTGATTTGATTTGAGGGTGGGCTGTATAAAGTAAGCCTTATAAGTTATAGTATATAAAATTTAGGAAGAACAACGTTTTCCACCCATCAAGTTTTAAAATGACACTTTCCCACCCATCATTATTTTCTGTTAGCAAAATCTGTTACAATTTGGTTGTAAAGACGAAAATATCCTTTACCATTTGATTTAATATTTTTCTTATTATTTTATGTCATATTAACAGATTTAATTACATACTCTTTAAATATGAAATTATTGATATGTCCTTTACTGTATACAAATACAATCCCTCCAAATTTTTTTATTAAAAATAATGTTTTATTGGAATTTAACAAAAATTTAGATACGATTTTTTTAACCAAACTCAAAAAACACGAGATCTACCAACTTTCAACAAACCCATTAAAATTTTCAAATGTGCGGAATTAAATATCAAAACATCCATAGCACTATCAAATTACAAGAACAAAACTCTCAACAGCTGCTTCATCACTCATTTAGTATCCACGCACAAAAGGACACGTAGGAAAATACAAACACAAAAAACCCCGCACTTTTATTCTCATCAAAGGTTAAAATATTTCAACCAAGCTTAGCAGATTGAATAGTTACACCACGTAACAAAAATGTGAGAATAGTAACTGCAACTTAACAATACAGTGGGCGTTGGGTGGGGTTTTTTGTCGAACGGGTTGTGGGCAACGTGGCAAGGTAGTTATGTGAATGGATTCGAAATCGCGGAAATCACCCAAATGCTCCACAAAGTAGATATAAAAACAACACTTCAAAACCAAATTAAACTCCACAAAATCAACAAAACAATCCACTTTCTACCATCAAACACGAACTTCTCCAAACAACGGCAACAAAGGCAGGGATGGGGGTGTGAGATGACGGGAAGCGATCGGTGGGGGAGGCAGATGGAGATGGCGGCGGATGGCGAGGGGGCTGGATGCGGTTGCTCGCAGTCGCGGGGTTTTGCAACTACGAAGGAGAGTGGAGGTCTTTGAGGCGGCGGCTCGGTGGAGAGGTAAGTATAATGGGTTTGGGGCAATGAAGAGCTAGTGAGGGAGGCATGCAAAGTTGTCGGAAGTGGCGAGAGAGGCCGGTTGCGGCCCCAGTAAGAGGTCGACTCGTGACTGAAGGTTGCGACGCTACCAACCCAGCTGGCGGTTGCAGGTTATGCCGGCATTGCAACCTCGAGCCTAGAAGGAAGATATGATGGCGAAGAAAAGATGAGGAAAAATAAAAAAAAATAAAAGAAAGAGAAAGAAAGGAAAACAAAAGATAAGATAAAAGAAAAAAACTTCACTTACACGAACCGAGATTTTAATTTTAAAATTTGGATTTATGATGAAAAATTGACCATTCTGCCCTTCTTTAGAACAGATTTTTCTAACATAACATAACGGTAGGTGGGAAAGTGTCGTTTTGAAACTTGATGGGTGGAAAAGTATCGTTTCGTTAAACCTTGGGTGGGACATTGTCGTTCTCCCTATAATTTATATTGAAGAGAGATTGTACATTTAAGATGTAAATAACGAGATTATAATCACTTAATGTTTTTTGTACATTATCGGCTATGAAATGAGAAATCCCTCTTTAAGTCTTAAAAGGGGTTCTATAATTTTTCAACAAAAAAAATCTTATTTAAAAAGGTTTTTAATAGTTTTGAAAAAATATAACGTGACAATGCAATTTAAGTATATCTTAGGGGTTCGATTATCCAAAATTAAATCATGCTACTTTGTTTCATAAACTACATTTTTAATTGGTCCACATTCTACGAGACGAGATTACCTCGATCATTATGATAAGACAAATATTGATATTAGTCATGTACATGACTATAATGATAATTTCGTGATATTCATATATTATTTATTATTTTCCAAAGAAAAACTCATAAAATTGATATATTATGGCTACATTTGGTACACTCTTCCAAATGTTATTTTGGTTTTCCCAATAAAGTTAAAATCCAAAAATACATCTGTTTCAGTATTCTCAAAATCATATTCTACTTTATTCATCTCACAAAACATTAATAATTACTTTTCTAGTAAACATAACACAATTTTACTTTTTTTTCAAAATATTATTCTGAAAAGTATTAGAATAATGAATTAAATAGATCCCATTTTATTTATAAAATTATAAAAGATTAAATTAAAAAAAGTTTTACGAGATTTGTGTCATTAGAAAAGGTTAGATCTACAGCCGACAGATCAGGCTTTCTGACTAGATTGGGTAGAGTTTTTGGCCGTTGACGATAGTCGTATTGACCGTTGTTTGGCCATCAATGTCCAGATCTGGCTAGAAAATGTCATTTCGGCGCACTACCGGCTTATCTAGCCAGTAGTGCACTATTACGGTAGATTCTAACGATAGTGGAGGAATCTGACAAATGGGGTGAGTGAGGGTGTTTTTATTAATTTATAAACTTATTGTTAGGGGTGTTAGTTAAATTAACAAACAAGGGGTTACAAATTTTTAAATATTTTCAAAAAATGCTATTAAAAAATTGTGAAAAAAAAAACTTCTCATAATATCACTCAACTCAACTTTTTTCAAGATTATTCTTAGAACTCCCAAAATAGTTTTTAAAAAACAAAAATTATCCCACTTGATATAACAGTAATATTGTTTATTCAATTGTCTTTATGAGATCACTTAATAGTTAATAGTAAATCATACATAAAATTATCAAAAACTTTTAGATATCTTATTAGAGGGTTTTTAATATTTTAATAATGTTTTTTTTTTTATTATTATGGGGATTTACAATCTGAGGTTTTTTTTTTTTTTTTTCTAATGTAATTAATAACTTCCTATAACGTAGGTGGGTGCTTTAATATTAAGTGATCTTATAAAAAAAAGTAAAAAGAAACATGTAATAATCTTTTAATTTTATAATAATAATAATAATAATATAATTTCTTAAAATAATAGAATTGATGATGATATAATAGGCTATGGACTTGAATTATCATAATGTACTCTAGAGTGTAAAAGAATAAGGAAAATCATTACCAAAACTACCTCTAAATAATTACTGGTTCGTTTAGGACTCTTCGGTGTATTATTCAAGAGATTTTGAGTTCGAATCTCTACAACTCCTAATAAAGATAATACTAGGGGTTTACTACTTTAACTTCACAGTTTTGGGATACGTTGAAGGGCTTACAAATTGGTCAACACCCCTCGGATACCAAAAAAAAAAAAAATTCATTACCAAAAATATTATTCACAAATATAGATTGAAGAAAGTAAAGCAAATATTAATATAAAAAGTAATGCATATATATTCAATTAATAAGTTTATGATTATTGTTTTAATATTATATATTTTCATGCAATTATTGAATTTTAGAATAAGTTTTAAAAAATATTTAGAGAAAATTCAGCTATACCCAGAGTTCTGAAATATATAGGCCCAGATATTTTTGAAATAATGAAATTTTACCCATATGCATGTAGTTACTGCGATTACTTATTTGAACGCGATGAGTTACGCAAAATAGTAAAACTGAAACATCTAAGGCATAAAATTTATAACAATTATAAAAGTCTAGGGTGACTTATTTTATGAATTTTGTATATTCGTTTTTTTAATATAAAAATAATTGGGAAGGCAAAAAATGAAACGCGCTCGACAATTTATCGTGTATATACAACCTTTTTAAAATGGGGTTGGTTTTACGATAAAAAAAGTTTGTTCATCTCATTGATTTTTTAAGTTCGAACTTAAGGTCACTTATCACATTATGACTTATTTTGAAATATTGAGCTTGTACGGTGTCAATAGTCTCATAGATTAATTGAAGTAAATGCAAAGACCTGAATACCTCAATTATTAAAAAAAAAAAATGAAAATCATTAGTGTATGTTTAATGCTATAGATAATAGTGCTTTTCATGTGTCACGGTGTGGTTTTTACGTCAAAATCTTTATGAATGATGAATCAATCCAGTCAAGGAATTCGAACTAATTCAATGGTTCAAGCAAGGTAGATTGTTGCTTGCAACAGATCTAGAGCTAATAACTTATCAGATCAGTTGTGAGATAGTCTCAGGAATATTTAAAAAGAAGTTTCTATCAATATACATATGCTTTCTTAAGCATGTCAATTTAATGTTTTTTAATGATAAATACATTTTTATACAAGTAAATGTAATTGAGGGTTTTATTATCTATAGCATTTTAAACTCTAGAATGTCAAAAAACGACTTAAAATATAGGATCTATTGCCCAAAAGTAAAAAATAAATCAAAAGAAGAATGTATTAAAAATCGACGATTGGCCAAATCAGGTGACCACGATTTGGCTACCACTTGGCACGTCATGTTGACATGATCTGGGCAAACAGCGACCAGATTGTGATCGCCATGATCTGGGCAAGGGTGGCATATCCAAATTTGGCAAACAGTGTCGGAGAAGGGAAAGGGGAGAGAAAGAGGAGTAAAAGAAAGAAGGAGAAGAAATAAGAAAGGTGGAAGAAGAAGAATAGAGAGAGAGGGGACGAAGGAGAAAGAAAAAACTATTTTCGTCTTTACATTGGTTATACATATTAATAACAGATTTTAATAGATCTTAATGAAGGCAAAAATGTCGTTTTAAAACTTTTTAGGTGGAAAATTGCCGTTTGGCCAAACCTTGGATTGGAAATATCGTCACACTATCCTATAATGGCAATATATAACATCCCAATTGCCATTTCTCATTTTTTATCTTCTTTTAATAATTTAAATAGCACTGTAAAGTGTAAATGCAATCATGATAATTGATAAATTACGTGTGGGTTGGGCTGTTATAGTTTCTCCGTTTCTATAATCACCTATTTTGAAGTTATAATCCCAAAAAAGTTTGACAAAATTAATTAAAAAAATGATTATACTGAAAGCTTATTCTAATAGTGTGCATGAATCGGTTTGATGGAACCAAACCAAATAACTGGGTTTCATGTATTAAACTGTTTATTCGTAAGGATTTTAATTGTTATAATAACAGTTTTTTTTTTTTTTTTTTTTTTAATGATAATGATTTATCATGATACAAAAAATACCCGGGATTATCAATATTTGTGTGCTCGAATTTGATTGTTTACAAAAAGAATTTATTCACCAGTATAGAGATGAACGAAGTGTGTCAATATTATATTTGTTAATTAGCATGATAAAGAAACTTAATGCAATTTATTAAAAAAAATAACTTTTACCATAAATGTACTTCAAATTAGTTATCAAAAAACCAAATTAAAGTCCAAATGAAAGATGTTATCATTAATATATTTAAATTTTTATTTTTATTACTATAAATTTAAGAGTAAACGATGTGTTCCCACCAAGGTTTGGCGAAATGGAAGTTTCTACCCCTGGTTTCATAAATTCCATATTCCTACCTTTAAATTAACAAAAACCTGATTAATTTAACAGTTAAAAGGGTAAAATGGTCATTTCAAAAAAAAATGTCAAAATGACCCTTCACTTTTCAAATTCACCCCACCGCGATTTTAGGTCATTATGGCCTATTCTTGACGCACGACCCCTCCTAACACTACAATTACAATCCTCTCCATCCCCATATCAAAACTCTTAACCTCCCTGCTGATGCACCCAACATCACCGATCACAATGCCCATCGATCGCTGCTGCCTCTCCTAAGGTTTTCGGTTGTTGTTGTGCCTTTCCATCTAAATTCTAGCCAATCTCGGTGTCGAAAATCACCCTTGACACCACTAATAACACCACAAGCATCCCCTTCCAAAACCCCGACCCCCGTTGCTCGTCGATCGTCGTCCACCTCCACTCCTAACAACATTTTTGCAAAATTGTTGTTTTGGTTGATTGGAGGTTGATTTGGAGGTTGTTTTGAAAGGAGAGTGATTGGTTTTGAAGTGTTTGTTGTTGTTGATGTGACTATGGTTTTTTTCCGACCATTTCACCCGTCGTCGGCCTCACCAGCCTTCCACTACCCACCCACACCCAACAAGTGTTCGACAAATTGCCCCAACAATACTCAACCTTCACCCACACGAGGGGACAGTCGATAGAGGTAGGGTTGTTGATGAGGAGGAGTTGGGGATGTTGATGGTAGTGTTAGGGGTAATTTTCGGTGTTGAAATCTACTGAACTCCAACCTGAAAACTTAAAAGTCGTGCGGACCAGCAAGGAGTGGCGGCCAATAATTGGTAGGTGCACTCCGGTGGAAAAGTTATGAGTTTTGGTGAGGAGGATAAGAAGATGCTGATGGTGGTATTAGGAGGTTTAATGGTGTCGAAATTAGGCCGGATTTTTGGCTTGACTGAGATCTCTTGTGGAGGTTATTTGAGAGAAATTTGAGATTTGTGAGTTATTTTAAGAGAAAATTAACGGTGTTATTTTAAGGGTGATAATCTGAAATTTATAAAATCAGGGTTGAAAATTTGTTATTTCGTCAAACCTTGGACGGGAACATGTCTTTTACTCTAAATTTAAATTTAAAATAGTTGAAATAGCAATATAGCACCGGGCAGCGGGCCGAGCCCCGTCTTGAATCTTGATGGTTGATAGTGCCCTCAGGCCCTCTCAGACGGCGCCCAGGCTGCTCCGCATAAATGCAAATATTTACGGTCTCAAATCTCAACAACACCCCTGAGATTCTGAGAACTTTTAAACCCTCAGATTTTGAAATAATACTACTATTGTACCCCTAAAGATTAATTGAAATTTAAAACATATCAAGCTGAAAGTCATTCAACAATTGATACAAAGTAAATAAAATAGTATATCCACTAAATTAAAACCTCACTTTTGCTCGTGGGTCGACACTCAAATCATTCTCACCTTGTTTCTCCACTCACTAATCGTCTCTGAGAAAAATGGGCGGAGACCCGGACGCAGAACAGGACGCTTCACGTCTCAAAACCATCTGCGAAACGAAGTTCAAGAACTCAAACCTCAAATCAGCTCTAAAATATGCCAAGAAAGCGCACCGTTTGGCCCCAAACCTGGAGGGCATCTCTTCAATGCTCACGGCGTTCAAGATTCTCCGTGTTGCTTCAAAATCTTCGACGAATGCTACTACAGACTGGTATAAGATTCTTCAGGTAGAGCCCTTCTCTCATATTAACACAATCAAGAAACAGTATAAGAAGCTTGCTTTAATTTTGCATCCTGATAAGAACTCACATTTAGGATGTGAGGAAGCGTTTAAGTTAGTTGGCGAAGGGTTTAGGGTTTTGTCTGATAAGATTAGGAGAAAAGAGTATGATATGAGGCTGAGGATTAGGATTCAGGAGGAGAATGTTAATGGGTTGGTCGGGAAGGACGCGTTTTGGACGGCGTGTTCGCGGTGTCGGTTGTTGCACCAGTTTGAGAGGAAGTATTTGGGCCATAATTTGGTGTGTCCTAGCTGCAATAAGAGTTTTGAGGCTGTGGAGGTTGAGGGAGTGGGTGTGGAGAAGGGAGAAGAGAGTGATGGAGTTAGGGTTTTTAGGAGTGAGAGGCTAAGGAGGAAAATGGGTAGTGTTGGTTCGGCGGCAAGAGTGGGAAGTGTGGGAGTGAAGAGGAAAATGAGTGGTGGGGATGCAAAAGGGAAAGAGAGTGGTGGTGATTGGAGTGGTGGGAGATTGAGGAGGAGAATGAGTACTGTTGGAGAGGTTTTGGCAAGGTCGAAGCCGAAGAGTGTGGAAGATCGTGAGATTTTGGAGAGTTTGAAGCCTAAGAGGGCAAAAGTTAGAGAGGAGACTATGACGTTAGCGCAAATGCAATTGGAGGCTAAAAGAAGGGCTAATCAAGAGAAGTTGAAGTTGAAGATGAAAGAGAAGGAGAAGGAGAAGGGGATGGAGAAGAAAAAGGAGAAAGATGAACGTGAGAAGGAGAGGGAGACAGGGACCAAGGAGGGGGAGACAGAAACAGGGAGACGCAGGGCTTCAAAGAATCAGGAGTTAGAGATTGAGAGCCAGCAGGATTCAGAGAAGAGTGGGGATTCAGAGCTTCAGAGAGGTGCATTTGTAAAGAAGAGTGTGGATTTGGGAACTGAGAAACGAGGGGCTTTGAAGAAGAGTGGGAACTCGGAAATAGCAAGGAAAACTTTGAAGAACTGTAGCTTGGCAATTGACAGGCGCAAGAGTTCAAAGAGTGAGGATTTGGAGATTATGGCAGTGGAAGACTCAGATTTTTATGATTTTGATAAAGACAGAGTGGAGAGGAGTTTTAAGAAAGGGCAAGTATGGGCTATTTATGATGATGACGATGGGATGCCTAGGCATTATGGTTTGATTGATGAAGCTATTTCTGTTTATCCTTTTGAGGTGAAGATTAGTTGGTTGGATCTTCAGAATAATGGGGATGAACAATTGATATGTTGGGAGAGAATGGGGTTTCATGTATCTTGTGGGAGATTTAAGGTTTCCAGGAAGACTTCCATTGATTCTCTCAATATATTTTCACATGTAATGGACTGTGAAAGGGTAGCGAGAGAAATTTACAGGATTTATCCAAAGAAAGGTTCAGTTTGGGCACTTTACAATGAGGCGGCTTTGGGTGTTGAAGGAGGAAACCTTCCAGCTAGAGATAGGCGATCCTATGACATAGTTGTTTTTTTAACAACTTACAGTGAAATGCATGGGTTAAGCATGGCCTATCTTGAGAAAGTTGATGGGTTCAAGACAATATTCAAGAGACGAGAAATTGGGTGTCATGCGATTAGGTGGCTTGAAAAGGATGACGTTCGTTTGTTTTCACATCAGATTCCTGCAAGGAAGCTTACTGGTGATGAGGTTTCTGACCTTCTGAAAGACTGCTGGGAGCTCGATCCTGCTTCACTGCCTTCAGATTTGCTAGCAATTGGTTGGGGAAGATGATTTCTGGTTGGGAAGCCCGATGTACTCCATGTATAGTTGTTCTTCACTGCTTTAGGAGTTCAAGGTGATTATATTTCACAATTAAGTGAAGTACCTTTGTGACGTAATTATGCATTCTGATCTTTAATTCCTGTAGCACATTACTTACTGCATGTTCTATGAATATGCTACAATTTAATTAGCTTCTGCTAATATGGCTAGACACTTTTATATATTGGATGAGAAGTACCTTGAATAGGTATAGAATCATGAAGTTAAAAGATGTACTACTGATAGTTTTTTATGCTTTTGGGTCGAGTAGCTCGTAAAGATGGTGTTTGTGGTGGATGAGTTTGTCTGTTTTCTGCAACTGCAGGACAATTAAGGGTTTCACTGACTCTACATATATACATATATAAGCACAAATCTACATAGACTTACTGATAATAGAAGAGTTCTAAGCTTTATGTCTGAGCTTTATGCCTGTGCCTGATAAATTCTTACCTATGTTTGTACAAAGCTTGGATATATGCATTTGGTGTTAACAAGTCCCCTTGAATCTGGGTTCTTAATTGTTAATTGGATTTTTGTGATCCGAGTTCCTAAATCAGTAATTGTAGACTTTTAACAATGTTTACTTATTTGGTGTTTCTGGGCATTACTGAACTGGGGAAGGAAAAACCAATGAAATGAATGTAAAAAATTGGCCTTTTCAAAATCAACCTTTTAGATGGTTTTGTTGTATATTTTTCCTACCAAACTTGTTTACTGTAGATGTTAATTTATTTCTTCTTAGACAGTGAATAAAATCAGTTATCAAATCTTGAAATTGAAGCAATTCCATTAACTCTGCTGCAAATAAATCCATTTTGCATCAGGGTTTGATTTTTTTATATTAATTGATCTCTTTAATTTGAAGAATATGTATATATATTCTTCCATTTATGAAATTCTAAGCAAAGTCTTGATAATTTATAGAATAGAAGTTTTGACTATTTTCAGTTTATCAAAGTATGTTTTCTGGTTGTATCATAGATACGCAATATAAAAAAGATAGATTATTATGAGAATCTTATCTATTTTAAGCCAGCTTAAATGCATGCATATTTATTCTTTTGTAACCATTTTCATCAAGAAATATCTACACGAAATAACCCAAGGGGGTTAAGGAGGTTTGCTCAATTCATTGACATTTTGGGTTTAAACTTTGGGCCATATTTGTAGCTTAATTTGGAACATTAAATTTGTTGAGTGTTCAATGTGCATTATATATATATATATAACGGTCTTATTCCATCATAAAGTTGATATGGTAAGGCAGTTCAACCCTAATTAACTAAAAATTATAATATTGTTATTCGTATGCACAATTTTTCTTTTCATTTATAATTAGCATGATGATCATTAATAATATTTTTATATTATCCAATTGGATGGTTTATAAAACTAAAACTTACACAATGACATTTAATTGAACGATCTCACCACATTGATAATATGATATTTGATGAGATTGTTTTATTAATTTATACAAATTTTTTGCATTTTAACAACTCGATAAATAATTTGCTTAATTAGTTAGCTGATTTCAGAAATACATAAAATAGTATTTGAAAAAAAATCAAACAGAAAAATAATTACTGCCACTCATCGCCTAAACACTTATTATATATTTTTTCATTGTTGTAAGTTGTAATTTTAAACTAAAGATAGGGGATTGGGGGGCCTAGTTAAAAATAAGTGGGGACTGTTTAGTTCACCCAGATTTAATTAGAAGGGCACTAAAACCAAAGCCATGGCCCATGGGCCAGAACAAACGAACCGTACAGACAGGAACTGTAGACACGCATAATTCAAAAAAAAAAAAAAAAAAAAAAAAAAGGAAAATTCCAACGGCTAGTTTTCATAGAGCGTAGGCACTAACGGTCATATTACCGTTCTCATATTTCCTTGATATACATTTGTACTTCGCCTTTGGCTTTACCTTTTCATCTGATATCTCCTTTCTCTGTTCCTCCTCTCTTTTACTCATCTTCTTCAATTTCACTGAAGCTCCATGGAGACCCCATCATCATCAACAAGACGAGTCACCAGGTCACAAACTTTGGCCTTGGCTGCTTCGGCTTCTAACAACAATGTTCCCAGTGAGTGATTCGTCTCCAATTCTAAACACCATTTCTTGATTTCTTCTTCAACTTTCATTGACCCTTTATTTGTTTGTTTTCAGGGAAAATTGAAGATTCTGAGAAGGGTGTTTTGAAGTCACGACAACAGCAACAAGATCGATCTGCGTTGATTGATATAACGAATGATTCACCCATCATAGGGCTTGCGACTGTTGGTTTAGAGACTCCATCATCGGGCATATCCAAGAAACGAATCAGTAGAGCCAAGAATAACAAAACTCCTGGTTCTGGAGAGAACTTGCTTCGGGGTCAGGTCAAGACGCTTCTTCAAAAGGTTGAAGAAGAGGCCGAGCTTTCAAAACTCCCACTTGAGAGTCGTCCCTTTCTTCATCTTCAAGGCACGGTCAACTCTCCCTTGCGACTTCTTGCGCCGACTCCGGCTAACACCCCTCAAATCTTGAATCTTTCCGAGGATGAAATTGCCTCCATAAAAGTCAACCCTTCTCCATTGGCTCACCTGCAATCCATTTCTCAGGTTTGGTTTCGTATCCATGGATTCTTGACGATTCTAGTCTTGTTTTTTAGAGCTTTTCTTGATGGTTTCTGTATTAATATGTCAGGTTGTGAGCAACATGATTGAGGGAAATAAACAAGAGAGCACTGAGTCTGAAAAGAATATGCTAACTCGGTCTTTACTGATGGATTTCTCCGAGAAATCGGAAGTTAGTTCGAAACCATCGGAATCCCCATGCGCAGATGAGGATGAGTCGTCTTCTGAGTGGTCTATTCAGGTGAATGCAAGTGCCCATGACGAAGAAGAGGAAGAAGAATACTGTGAATTCAACTGTGATGAAGAGTTGGTCGATGAACTATGCGAAGAAATGAGCAAGATCAGTGTGAACAACGAGAAGGCAACTGGAAAGCACACAAGATTTATTTACAACAGTGACGACGAGATAATTGAAGAAGAATATGTTGAAAACAAGGAGGAAGATTCTGAACCAAAAGGGAAACACCTATTCTTTGAAACTGAAGAAGAAGAAGAAGAAGAAATGGTGAAGAGTGAAGATTGATTGACGTCGTCTTGTGTCTGTTGATTTTCTTTCAAGTGATTTTTTATTTTGTTTTTGATGGATTGAATCATGAAAATTTATGACTGCTGCTTGCAATCCCTAGTAATTCCAGACTCAATAAAAAATACATTTTGAGACAAATTTCAATAATGTTATTGTCCATCCCTTTCCTAATATGATTATATTATTCATTTTCTGTTTAATTATGACTTGCTGCAGAAAATTTTAATGGCTTATGAAAGTGGTCTTCTTCTCCAAGATGAAGACCACAATAGCCAATGGTTTTCATATTTGCATGTACGCCACGTGTTATTGTGGGCCCACAGAAGGTGTAACAGAGAAGTCAAAACTGATTAGAAAGCTTGTTAATCTGCAGTACAAAGATGGAACATAAATATATATCTGTGATTAGACTATAATTATCCTAATTCTAAAAGAATCCTAACATTTTATCATTTCAAAATCTTTTTTTTTTTTTTTGCGCCCTAAGATGTCTCAAAATTTTAAGTTTGATAGTATGTAATTACATTAATCACTTTAATTAATTTAGTGGCCGCAATCCATTTATGCTCATTCTGATAGACATAACACGTCCAATAAAATTATATTATGTGTTAAGTTTTTCTTTCGTCCATCTTCATTCTTAACATGATAAATAGTTTATCTATCAATCAGAATATTTGTGACTTAAATAGTGGATTTATTTGATAATAATATATTATTTAATATGGCTACAGTAATCCATATGAAATAATATATTATTCTGAAATATAAAGGAAGGAACTGTAAAAGTGATGGATGTTTGCAGTGGCACACCGCACACACCCAGCCAATTAATTTGTCAATGACTGATCCTACGGACTTAATTAATCAGTTAGTACTGATCCTACGGACTAATTAATCAGTTAGTTGTGATGTCTCTGAGGTTCCATATCCCATTGACCCTTATAAATTATATATTCTACGGACTAAATCAAGTCCGTAGGATCAGTACTAACTGATTAATTAAGTCCGTAGGATCAGTCATTGACAAATTAATTGGCTTGGTGTGTGCGGTGTGCCACTGTTCATTTATCCGACATAAATGACGTAGTTGTACTTTGATAAAGGAGTATAATATTGTTTCTACCTATAGTGTAGTCTATAAAGATAAATACGCTACAAGACAACCCCATGATTTTTTTTCTTCCATTCTCTTTTTCCAAAGACAACCCATGATTTTTTTTTCTTCCTTTTCTTTTTTCTTTTTCTTTGTTTTTTTCTTCGCTTTTGTGGTTGTTTGTTAAGTTTGGTAAAGATAGAGTTATTCTTCCTATAAATAGGAGACTATCAAACCCCATACCATCCATCACTTTTACAGTTTCCTTCCGTTTATATTTCATATGGCTACAGCTACCGCTTCCACCAAGCTCCTACTCTCCGACCTTGCATCCACTGTTCAAAACGTTCCCTCTAACTATATCAGACCCATCAATGACCCACAATCACGCAAGTTGAGGTATCAGATGCTTCTTCTATCCTCTATCGACCTTGATGGTCCTCGCAACTCTGAAATCATCCAACAGATTGGTTAGCATGCCAACCGATGGCTTCTTTCAGGTATATACTTTATTATTTGCAATAATCTTCAATTCATTATTACTGAAATCTGACCCACAACGTCGTCGTTTTCATACTCCAACGGATCTCAGTCTCCCAATGCGCGCTGCGACGATGCCGTTTGACAAGCCATAATCTCCGTTACCTCTGTACGATGTTTTTAAGAGATTCGTCGCCGACGGCGATGGCAAGATCTCCGCGTCGGAGCTCGGCGCCATTTGGAAAAGCCTAGGCCGCGCCGCCACAACGACGAACTCGGCAAGATGAGGGAAAGGACTCCAACGGCGACGGCTTCGTCGACTTCAACGAGTTGCCTTACTCAACACCAAGGCGTCGATCGGAGGAGATTATAACCGACTTGAAGAACGCGTTCTCCCCTATGACATTAACGGTGACGGATTGATAACGGCGGAGAGCATCTTCAAGTGTTTAAGAGTTGGGCATGAATGCACTCTCACTGAGTGTGGAAGATGATAAGTGGAGCTGACGGAGACGGTAACGGCAAGATTGATTTCGAGGAGTTTAAAGTAATGATGATGAGCCTTGAGGTTTGAACATAGAACACAGAGCGGAACATATAGCTGGAGTCGAAAGTTAAAAATTAGAATAGAAATTACAGGAAATATTTAGCATGTAGTCCAAGTAAATGATGATGATTTTATTTAATTTCTATACAGGTTTCTTTAGAGTGGATCTGGTCATCACCAACTTTGTCCTCGAGGTTCCCTCGGCTGTTCTTGACCAGCTTTCATCAGCAGATTCAGCACATAAGCTGGATATTTGCTATCTGCAATGCTACTATCATTTGCTGCTGTTTATATGCATCTTGAGCCTATTTATAAGGTCGAAAAGGAGAGTTTACCTGGAGGTGGACGAGGTTACCTTGGTTTTATAATGCATCGCAAAATTATAGGCCTTTTGGTAGCTTCAAGGCTTTTTGTGGATCCGCTTGTGCGCTTTGTCAGTGTATTGTTACTGCAGTCAATTATGCACGATCTGATGATAAGCCTATTACTTTTCCTTTTGGCCTATCATATTTGCCTTTGGGTTACTATGTTCTAGATTGCTAAAGAACCTGATGAGAGGAGGATGGTAGAAGAGAGATGCTTCAATATTTGTGTAGAGTGTGGAGTCTGTTTAAAAACCGGACCGGCGGTCGGACCAGGAACCGGTAGCTTCTCCGGTCCGGTTTAGGTCTCAGGGGGTTTTTGAAATATTTAAAATTATGAGGGTTACTTGGTAATTTTATAGGAGTATTTTGAGATATATCAAAAGTTTAGGGGTTATTGGTAATTTTATTGGGCATTTTTGGAAAAATAAAATTTTAGGATCATTTGAACTTTTTAGGAGAATTTTTTGGGCATTTTTGGAATAAATAAATCAATGATAAGTTCTAACAATCTTACCATAGTTGAATAAGTCAGGTTGCTGGTGGCATAAGTTATCTATCCAAGTTGGAAGTTTTGAAAACAAATTCATAGGAAAATAGCATGCCAAGTTGCCAACTACTTTTGTGGGACAGAATTTAAGGCTCACCATCAAGAGATTTTTACTGCAGTTTTGCTATCAACAGCACTGTTTAGAACTTACCATTGATACTATCTTCTTTGTAGGTTAATTTAAACTTATGTAATTAGTGGTGCTTCATCTGGTATTTAAAGCTATTTTTGTGTAAGTAAAATATATAGTGCACCAGAAATTTCTATTTTCTTGCACTTAAACTGTTAACTTTTACAAAGACACTATCTTTTTTTTTTTCTTGTGTTAATATTAAAAGGTTCTGTTTGGTTCACGAAAAGTTTTTGGCAAGGCATGTTCTTAGTCAAGTCAGACAAATTAGGTGATAAAGAAGTTAAAGCCATTTAATTATTCAGCTCTGAGTCTTGAAATTATGTATCCTCAGCCTATAAATAAACCTATTGCTTTTCCTTTTTGGCCTATCATATTTGCCTTTGGGTTACTATGTTCTAGATTGCTAAAGAATCCTGATAAGAGGAGGAATGTGTAAGAAGAGAGATGCTTCAATGAATTTGTGTAGAGTGTGGACTACTACAATTTACAAATATGAGATTATAAGGCATTTTTCCAATCATGAATACATATCAGCTATAATTTTCTTTTGAAAATATTCTTTCTAATTCTTTGAACTCTCTAGTTTTCTTGCATTTTCCCTCACTTTCTTACTGACCAATCATTCTGCAAATTAGGAATTAACAGACGAAATCAACAAAGATTTCCATGAATTTTGGGTGTATTGGACAATATTATGCACCCTGACGGTTAAGCTATTTGAAATTCAATTTGTAACAATTTACAACTTGTAATCATTACTGCAATCAAATAATGACAAAAAACGAGACAAATAATTTGAAATTACTAAATTGGCTTAAAAAACAAAAAACTCACTTTTAATTTCTCTCTTACAACTATCGGATTTGTAATGAATTAAAGGACAAAAATTTATGTTAAGACTTTAAGTTAAAAAATTAAGTCACAAATATTCTGATTGATAGATAAACTATTTATCATGTTAAGAATGAAGATGGATGAAAGTAAAACTTAATACATAATATAATTTTATTGGACATGTTATGTTTAGCAGAATGAGCATAAATGGATTCCGGCTACTAAATTAATTAAAATGATTAATGTAATTACATACTATCAAACTTAAAATTTTGAGACATCTTAGGGCACAAAAAAAAAAAAAAAAGATTTTGAAATGATAAAATGTTAGGATTCTTTTAGAATTAGGATAATTATAGTCTAATCACAGATATATATTTATGTTCCATCTTTGTACTGCAGATTAACAAGCTTTCTAATCAGTTTTGACTTCTCTGTTACACCTTCTGTGGGCCCACAATAACACGTGGCGTACATGCAAATATGAAAACCATTGGCTATTGTGGTCTTCATCTTGGAGAAGAAGACCACTTTCATAAGCCATTAAAATTTTCTGCAGNGTGTTACGACACAGATCCGATGGGTCTGTGTCGTAACACAATTTTTCGGCAAGTTCCCGGTCTTGACGGCCGTAGATCTGGCCTTTTCCGGCCAGATCAGCCACGGATCTTGCCGGAAAATGAAAGATCTACGCGTTACGACACAGATCCGATGGGTCTGTGTCGTAACACAATTTTTCGGCCAGATTTCAACGGTGGTGACCGGAATCTGGCACTGCGGGTGATGGGGGTGTTTTTGTTATTTTATAAAATTTTTATATATTGGGGTGTTTAGTTAAATTAGCAAACCTAGGGGGGTTTTTAGATATTTTTAAATTTATAAAAAACTAAAAATAAAACTTTCAAGGGCATTTTAGTCTTTTCACTATTATCTAACGAAAATCACTAATAGAACATGACGGAAGGTACCTATTTATCGTTTCAAAATCTTTTGGGTACCAACTTGTCGTTTCGATAAACTTTGGGTATGCATAAGTCCTTCGGCCAATTACATACTATCAAACTTAAAATTTTGAGACATCTTAGGGCACAAAAAAAAAAAAAAAGATTTTGAAATGATAAAATGTTAGG